AGGTCTATCTTCTAAAAAAGGCACTCTTTGGATTGAAGCAAGCTCCAAGAGCTTGGTACAGTAGTATTGATAATCATCTGCTAAGTATAGGCTTTGAAAAAAGCTTATCTGAGTCCACTTTTTACATCAAACACTGTGAGTTCAACATTGTTATCATTTCACTATATGTTGATGATCTTTTAGTGACTGGAAATAATGCAGCCTTAATCGATGAATTTAAGATGGAAATGATGAAAGTTTTTTAGATGACTGGTCTTGGATTGATGACTTACTTTCTTGGAATGGAGATCAAGCAAAGTAAAAATGAAGTCTTTGTTTACCAAAGAAAGTATGCTAAGCAGATTCTAAAGAAGTTTCATATGGAAGATTGCAAGTCAATGAGCACTCCTATGAATATAAAGGAAAAGTTCAGCAAGGAAGATGGAACTGAAAAAGTAGATGAGACATACTTCAGGAGTTTGATTGGGTGCTTGATGTATCTTACAGCAACAAGACCTGACATCTTGATTGCTGTAAATATTTTATCTCGATTCATGCACTGTGCAAGTGAAACACACTTGAAGGCTGCTAGAAGAGTGATTAGGTACATCAAAGGCACAACCAGTTTTGGCATCAAGTTCAAGAAAAGCAAGGATTTCAAGCTGTTGGGCTTCTCTGACAGTGACTGGGCAGGGTGCATTGATGACATGAAAAGCACCTCAGGATATTGCTTTAGTCTTGGATCTGGAGTTTTTTCATGGAGCTCAAAGAAACAAGAAACAATAGCTCAATCTACTACTGAAGCAAAGTTTATTGCTGCAACTACTGCTATCAACCAAGCTTTATGGTTGAGGAAGATATTGAGTGATCTTAATCTTGAGCAGAAGGAAGACACTAGGATCTTTGTTGATAATCAAGCTGCAATTGCTATTTCTCACAATCCGGTATTCCATGGAAAAACTAAACATTTCAACATCAAGTTGTTTTTCTTGAGAGAGGTGCAAAGGGATGGTGTTGTAACTCTTGTCTATTGCAGAACAGAAGAGCAAATTGCTAATATCTTTACTAAATCCATGCCAGCAAGCAAGTTCGAGATCCTAAGAATGAAACTTGGTGTTTGCAGTCTCTAAAGCAAGGAGGAGTATGTTAGTTGTTGTGTTTAGGACTGCTGTCACTTTTTAATTATCCATTTATTTGTGTTTTGAATAAGTCAAAGTCAGTTTCCTAATTTTCAGTTTTAGTTTCTTTCTTTTAAGTTTGTTCAGTCGTGGTCTCATTAGAAAATTTACTGTTAGTGGTCAGTTATTTTTATTGGCTATATATGTACGATTAAAAGAAATCAATATATCTCTCATTTTTAAGCATATCTCTATTTTCTCTTCGCCGCAGCCTAATTTTTCCCTTTTCTTCAAACGATCTTCACTCTTCTGCTGCAGCTTCAATAACCCACAATGACTTTGTATGTAAAAGACTTCCAATTGTTTTCAAGGTCATAGGTAATCCTTTGGATTTTTCAACTATCTTTGTAACAATCTCCTTCAACTCAACAATCAACCGAGGGTGACCATCTTGGAATGCATGTTTAGGAAAAACTTGTCAGCATTGATCTTTGTGTAATTGCATTAGGTGATGCACTTTATTTGAATGCATGGTAGAAGCAACTTTCTCACTATGTGTTATAACAAGGATTCTACTTTCTTGAGCCCCATAATTAAGAGGAGTTAGCAAAACTTTCCATTTATCTCATTTTTTCTTCCTAACATCATCCAAAACGAGAAGAAACCTCTTCCCTGACAATCTTTCTTTCAATCTTCCAGGAAGCATTTCTAGGTCTCTGCTATCATCTTTTGATATAATAATTGCCTCAAGAATTACTCTTTTTACCGTAAAACATCAAACTCATCCGAAACACAGGCCCAAGCTTTAATACCAAAATTATCCTCCTTCATCCTTGGGTCATTGTATATATGTTGGCCAAGCGTGGTCTTACCCAACCCACCCATGCCCATAATAGACAGTATTGATAACTGGTTTAGATGGTTAGTTTAAGATGTAAGTCAATTAATGATCATTTCTTTGTTATCATCTCTACCATAAATAACACTTTCAACCACCAAAGAAGTTGGTGGTAATTTTTGTGACATGTTACTACCTGATCCAATACCAGAATAAGTAGCCTCTTTCAAACCAAGATCACCTTTTTGGCTTGCAAGATGTTCTAGTTTGTCAAGGACTTGTTTCATCCCCAAGCCAACTTTGCTGTTAAATGAACTGAAAGTCGCATTGAAGAAATTTGATACCTTGTAAGTAAAGGCTTGGAGATTTCATAGTCTATTTCATCCGGGAGATCCTCTGCATCAAACACAGCATCTTTGACCGCAGTAAGCCATGCTTTCACAAGTGGATCTCTGAACTGCTTTTGTTCAGCACCATCAGCGAGAGCATCAATAGACAACAGCTTGATGTTCAACTTTTTCAGCAGCTCCTCACCAAGTTTTCTTACATGAATTAAATCTAAAACTTGAGAAGCCAGCCTGTCAAATGCAACCTGAAGGAAAGCAGAAAGTAGAGAGCACCACCAACGAATGCTGCATCCAAGGTAGGAATAGGAAAGGGAGTGAATGAATGGAAATGAGTAATATGAAGTGAAACTGATGCCAGTAAATGATTGAGTGTAAGGGTTAGTATAGTGATGAAATGAGTAGTAAGCTATTTTACAAACGATGGGTTTACTTTGGGGTTAGTGAGCAATATCTTTTTTTGTTTTTCTTTGATTGCCAGTTAACAGTTGAGTGACTTGAGTCACATGCTTTTCTTTGATCCATGAATGAATCACCGGCTATGGTTCCCTGCATTCACATGCTGTCAAATGTTTTACAATTTTATTTACCAAGATAAAATGTGATTCTCGCATCTTCAAGTAATAGTTTTGAACAGTTAAATGCGACAATGTGTGAATTCTGAAATCACATGCAGCGCACTCAGAATCCCCCATAAAAAAAAATATCCATCAACATTGCACTTTGTCCAACCATCTTTAGTAAGGACCAATGAATAACTTTTCTTTCGCATAGAAACAGTGACTGAATGAATTCTTTCGTATGCTTCCCATTACAGAGAAAAAAAGTAACTTATATTCACCATTGAATCAGTAATTTAGATACAAATCACCAATGACAAAGATGAGAAAGGAAATAATGTAAAAATGGTTCCAAATGTTGACATGTGTCTAACCGTTGTTTAAATTTACTAGAGTTTGCATGTGGTGAGGGTCTGGATAGTTTCTACAAAAGTCTTACGTTTTAACCTTGTTGTAATTGATATACATACATAAATTATGATACTATTTTAATACTCTGTCGGTGTAAAGATTTTTTTTTTGTAATGCTAAGAAAGTGATAAAAGAAAATAAAGTATAATATTGTGTTTTGATTGGCTAGAATAAAAAAATGAGTTAATCATTTATACATTGTCAGTGTAAAGTTTTTTACACTGGCAGTCAGAGCTATTAATAGTTCCATTTTTATTTTAATTTAATTAAATGAGCAGATGAAAAGGTACTATTAACGGCTCTAATTGACTGCCAGTGTAAAAAAACTTTACACTGGTAGTGTATAAGTGATTAATTCTAAAAAAATTATAAGATGATCAGTGTGATGAAGAGACAAAGAAATAAAAATATAAAACTGAATTACAAAACATTTATATAAAAATAATATAGTTCAGTAATTTTTCCTGTTTATTAGTTCCATATTTTAAAAGGTGATGTCTTAGACTAAACAACTTTGAGAGAAAGAAAGACAGACACATGCATTTTTATATCCAGGCAAGTATTACTAATAAATTTTAATTAAATAAATTATAACAAAAAATATATGTAATTGAAGAAAATTAGTAACAGTAAATAATAACGACTTTAATAAGTAGTATTTAACATTGTCGATAACAATTTTCAAAAGTAGTAATGAACTCCAAATCCATTTTTAAGCGCAAGAAGACCCCGTTTGTGTTTCGGGCAAAGATGAGAGAATTGAGAGAAGACAAAATGGGCAAGAAAATTTTGATTTAATAGCAGACAGTGTCGGAGTGTCCTACCTAGGACATTTTTTAATATATAATAAATTAGTATTTTAACTTGCATATTGCATGGGGATGTTGAAAATATGACTAAATATCTTTTGTTTAAAAAGGAATGAATAATTTAGTATTTTAGAAATGTATAAATTATATTTCAAATAATTAGATTCAATTTGTGTTTATTATTTTAATTTTTGTTTCCTAGTTTTAAGAATAGTATATGCTATCAATATTTGAATTTTTGTACAGTTTTGATCTATATATTTAGAGTAAAATAAACCAGAAGAACCATTTTTTCAGGGTTACTTATGGCTCTGATAGTTGAGATCTCTGTCAACAAGCCAAATCACTCGAGAAAAGTAAACTTGACACTATATTAACTCAAAACTTCAAAATATGAGGTGGATGAATTCTTTTTACTTATATGCAGCTCTACTTGTTTAATTTTATACATTGTGAGACTTCTTTAATCATATTCACACTAGCTACAGTGCTACTCAACAGTGTGCAGGAGCATCTTCATGGTTTTCTCGTAAGCACACCTAAAGATGCTGTTACACATTTTATAGAAGTTGCAAGGAGCTTGAAGTTTGAACAGTTTTCCAATATAAGGTTGCAAGAAAGACCCCAAATTTGTAATTCGGAAACATGCTGTTGGGAGATTGTGTTTTTGAGGAAGAATGTCCACTTCTAAGCTATAGGGTGATCAAAGGGATAAGGTTCTTTACATTTCTGTAAATGATGACACTAGTTGAAGTTGTGATTTTACATTTTTCAGTGAAGAAACAAACTGATTAATTACAGGATTACTTCCACATTCTAATTGCTTCACTTGGGGTTATTCCCTGTCTTTGTACTAATAATTTTTTTCAGAGCTACAGTTGCTAGGGAGCCTTGGCTTGCCCCATTAAATTGTGATCAAATTTACCAGATAACCCGATATCTGCACCAATTATAATCTTTATTTAGCTTATGCTGAAATCCGTGTACATGTATCTAAAATCTAACTCACAGTAGCTTAGTAAACGCAAGTTCTCAGCTATTTGTTAACCAAATAATTTGGCAGATATACGGTATACATTGTAATCAAGGGTGTGTATAGTAGTTCATAGAAGAAAAAGTTTTCAAGCTTCTTGACTGCTTTCTCTGGAATGGTTGTGATAGTGCTGCAAAGCCTCTCTTATAGTCTTGAGAGCCTTGTCATATGCTATAAACCCCATAAAATAGAATTCATAGCCATCCTCTGTGACAACCTGGATGTATTTTTCTGCAGGGTTAAATCTATTTGAGGAAGGACTAACCGTGCTTAACTGATCCAGATGCACTATGACCTAGATACAAGACAAAAAAAAAAAAAATCAGTACTGGATAGATATTACGAGAAAACTTGCCTATAGTTTGGGATGCTGTTGTTCAGAAATTCAAAAGGGTTTCAACTTTCAACTATGGTCTCAAAATATTAAACATAGGAGTCATCCTTGACTAAGAGATGTGAAATAGGTGAGCATCTCCCAAAAAGTAGGGGAGGGGGTCTAGTTATTCTATAGTGGCTTTCGAAGATGGTATGAAAAATGTGCATCATTATTACTCATTTTCTCTCATTAAAACTTAATTCTATAAATTGTATACATCACATAGAGAAAAATCAAAAAGTTTCAGTGGTGTATTAATTTCTCTGGATAAATTGTTCATACATTCACTGACCATTTCAACAGATACAAAAGACAATCAGAGACCAAGTGCTGTTGCTTGCTGTCTGAATCTGTAATGTCATTGATGCACTCATATTACTCCTAAGAGGAATGCTATTAACTTATTTTTTAACAAACTCTATCTAATATTGTTTATCTTATTGGTTAAAATTTATTATAAACTATAATCATAAATGAGAACTTATATAAGGAGCGAAACTACACAATTATGTTGTTCCTAATAAATTTTTAGTCAATGATAGTGTGTGTAAAAAAATGTATTACAGTGTGTGATGGTAATATTTCTCTTACTTGTAATACATTATTTAATAAAAACTACTATTAATAAATGCATGTTGAAAGCAGAAAATGAACTGTATTTTTACTTATAATAATGAGTGAGACCAATATCAATACCATTTAACTCATCTAGGCTTATCAGAGCTTCTAGCGTTAGAAGATTACTTGCAACCGATTGGATAACATAGACAACTTTCAAACTACAAGGAGCATACTTTAAAAAGAAAGATATTAAGTACCTTATAATGCACGCTCTGATTTTGCTGCAGGGAATATGGATAATGACACAGTGGATAGTCGCTGCAAAAGGCTATTCTTTTAGTTGACACATAAAGCGTTCCAATTACAGGTCCAGAGGCTGTTGATAAGTAGCAAGCAAATGACTTCATGAGTTTCTCTCCTGGGAAAATCCCAAATGATTGTTGAAATAATATATCAGGCCCTCCTTGTGTAAGCACCTTTGTTCCTTGAACAATTCTAGCGACTGCTGCATCAGCAAGACTAGAACTAATTCTGACTGCAGTATAATACATAAAAGATTCCATTAGAATCAAGTATGGATCTACATCTACACCACTAAAAATTATAGATAGAAAACTAAGCGCATGTTTGGACAAATTGCTCCATAAGCACTTCTAAGAGAAGAAAATAAGAAGAAAAAAAATGAAATAAACTTCTCCGAAAGTTTAAATTAGCTTATTCATAAGCTAATTTGTATAATTTTTCTCGTACTAGTTTTTTTAAAAACTAATTCGTAACTTATGAAGAAGCTAATTTTAGTTTTCGGCTAGAAGTTTATTCAAACACACTTTAAATTTACTTCAGTGTCTGGAAGAACTTTTATTCATGCATGATTGGTAAGGAAGTTGGAGAATTTCGCTTCCATGACATGACAGGAAATTTAATAATTTTGTTCCAGTGCATGACACTATTTTTCGTCTTAGTATCTACATAAATAGTTTATACATTTTGGGCTTTACTTGAAAAGATGCTTGCAAATTAGTTCCTACCATTTGCCAAAGTTATAAAGTATTAGATTTTGCTAAGTTGGCTAATGTTTGTCCTGCACATGTTATTATTCACCAACTTTAATCAAACTACCGTAAAACCTGACGAAACACTTTTAGTAGGATTTTCTCTACCAATCACATTTTGTCTAACTACAAGACTTGGGCCTGAGACCTTATTTCACGGGACCTAATTTAATTTCACTCGAACCAACAACTTATTAGTATTTAATTAGAATATATTGATAGAATATAACAATTTTCCACACTATCTTCCATAAGATATTGCCATCTATGATAAAATTATTGACTTTTGTAATAATAATTTCATCTCAATCATACATAGAATGATTTGTAACTGATAAATATTATAAAAATACTTGCAACATCGATGTATGAAAATCAAACTCGTTTTCTTGAACAGAGATTAAAATGGAAAACAACGTATAGATCAAAATTTTAATTTAACCCTAACCAAATAAAAGGATACGATTCGATCAAAGTACAAAAGGAAAAGAAAAGGGTAAAAAAAAAAAAAAAGAAGATGGTGGAGACAAACTCACTATGATTCCAGAAATTATCAGCCATGATCTCAACTCGTCTAGTTGCTTCTTCAACCTTCCTGTTGCAGCGGTTTATTGCATCACAAATTGGATTTGGACCTGAAAGCATAAAGTGGTATTAAATAAAAGGAAGAAAGTTATCAACAGAAGACAGTATAACTACCACTCACGGTTGGTGGGTGCAGAGGATGTGGGAAGAGGGGAAATTTGAACATAAGGGTTGTTGCTGCCATTGTTGGACATGCTTCTGCTAAATTGATTCAGAAGGATCCTTCACTGTTTAATTTGGTGAGAGGTGGAAGCAATTGATCACGAAAACATGGATGCAAAATAGAAGGACAAAAGAGAATAGAATTATGAATCAGCTGTATTTAATATTAGGGGATTAGTGACCTAGAGGAGAAGAAGATTTAAATAGAGAAGTTTGGGAGAGAAAGAAGCTCACGGACCAGAGTCCTTCTCTCTAAAACCTCTCTCTAGGTTTCTTTGAAAATGAGCTTATGAGGCTCCGTTCTCAGAGAAAGCCTTAAATACCCTTCCCTCTAGCATTCACTAACCTTGAACCAACCTACTACGTCACAGATTAAATTCATACAATTGTAATACTTGCAAGATTAAAATAGCAATTAAGTCAATAATTTTTTTAATAAATGTTAACTAATAAAAATAAATATATTAAGAGATAAAAAGTATATTGATAAGCGTCTCTTATTTTAATGACCATCCTATTTTTAATAAAGACTATGTTTTACTTACTACACTTCTCCAAGAATATATGTAGAAGTATTTTTCTTTTATTTGATATTACAATTAGAATATTATATGCTTAATATATCTAATCATCAAAATTTTCAAGATATTACCAGGCCGTGTCTACAAATGTTAAGATCTTATACAAATTTTATATTTCAATCCCACTCTAGTATAATTTATTATTTTATTTTATTTTTTATTTTTAAAATTATTAGTTAAAATTTAATAATCAAATAATTTATACATTTAATATCATTTTATTCAATAACTATCTTACAACATAATTGATAACAAATTAAATTTTTAAAAATAATTTTAAAAGTTTATTTTAATAATGAGAATAATTACAAATAATAATAATAATAATCTATAAACATTACATATACTTTAAAAATTAAAGTTTTTAATATAGTTAAATATTTTTAATAGGACAGTAATTTCCTTTTGTTAGTATTTTGATTTTTCAATTTCAAAAAAAGTCAAACCACTAATATTAAACTAATGCTCACTAAAGTAAGAAATAAAATTAAATTTATTTCAAAATTAATTAAAATTTTATTGCAAAACATTCTCTTTTAAAATTTGTAACTATTGAAATTCAAATAATAAACTCCACAGTGATTTTATATTTTAAAATTTGTTCAAATGTGAATAAAAATAAATAAATTGATTTGACGTTATACAAAATAATAAAAACTATAATAATTGTTTTTTATGAGAAGTAAAAGAATTAATATTTAAATAATTAACTATTTTGTTCTAATTATTATATTTGATAGATTACTTTAAACTATGTAGATGGTGGGAAAAAAAACACTTACAAACATGATTAGAGATAACTTTTTCATTAATTATTGAATTTTATATTTTGAGATTAATTGAAAGTTAATATATATATTTTATGAGTTAATCATCTATACACTGCCAATGTAAAATTTTTTACACTGGCAACCAATCATATCTTTTAAAATTGTTTAATTATTTTATTATTATTTCATTAAATAAATTACTGACGTGACACTATTAAAAGATATGATTGGTTGTCAGTCTAAAAAAACTTTACACTGGCACTGTATAGGTGATTAACTCATACTTTATATTGATGAATTTATGATTATACTTTTAATTAGTTATTTGATTTTATGTTAAGAAAGTAATTGAAAGTTGATATATATTTTATTTAGATGAATTTTATGATTTAAAAAAATGATATTTTTAACAATTATAATTTGATATTTATTAAAAATGTATTATTAATAAAATTCAGTCTCCCTTGCATTCAGTTCTGAACCTGTCCCTGGATCCAAGACCTTGTTGACCTTGGCAAAACACAACCACAATCTTAGATATTACAACTTGATCTTTCTAAGTTATTATAAAAAGTTATATACTTAGGTTAATTTAAATACTCTTTTAATCTCTATAGTTTTACGATACATTTTATTTGTATAATTACAAATGATTTCTATATATATATATATATATATATATATATGTTTAATATTGATTATAAATAATTCTATTTATTCTTTTGAATTATTGTATTTATTGGATATTGTTCTTACTCCTCTCTTTTCTTTGTTTTTAAAATTAAATATATTATAAAATAGATGGATCTACTTGGGATTCCAGATCATTTTGCAGTTATTATAGCCGTTGTCTTCCTTGGAAGGAAATGAGAATGTGGAGGCTATTTGATGAATCTATTATAATTTTATTTGTTATTGTAAATTTATTAAAATAGTACGTCTAGTATCTTGGCTTCTTTTAGAAATAACTTTAGTCCCCAAAATAATCTAATCGTTCTTTGTTTTTTTTTTTTTTTTTTTTAAAAAAATTTGAGAAATAATTGTTGGGAAAGATACCAAATATAACCACATTATATAAAAGTTGACAGATAATTAATAATCACAGGATCAAACTTTTTTCACACTTTATATAATCACAATGAGACAAAAATATCTTCCATTATAAATTAATGAGATTACAAAGTTATAATAATAATAATAATCTCACAAATATGTTACTAAACACTCTTTTGATACTGCACTCAAAAGGATTCATTCTCTCACGATGAAGTGAGGTTAAACTTATCTAAAACTTTCTTTAAATTCTCTTTGTATTTAGTGATTTTATATTTTAAAATTTGTTCAAATGTGAATAAAAATAAATAAATTGATTTGACGTTATACAAAATAATAAAAACTATAATAATTGTTTTTTATGAGAAGTAAAAGAATTAATATTTAAATAATTAACTATTTTGTTCTAATTATTATATTTGATAGATTACTTTAAACTATGTAGATGGTGGGAAAAAAAACACTTACAAACATGATTAGAGATAACTTTTTCATTAATTATTGAATTTTATATTTTGAGATTAATTGAAAGTTAATATATATATTTTATGAGTTAATCATCTATACACTGCCAATGTAAAATTTTTTACACTGGCAACCAATCATATCTTTTAAAATTGTTTAATTATTTTATTATTATTTCATTAAATAAATTACTGACGTGACACTATTAAAAGTTGAGGGGGCTGATCAGAAAGGCACCGAGGAAGCTGGGCGCAGATACGCTCGTTCTCGGCGCGCAGCGCTGCTAGGTCAGCCTCATTCGCGGTACGCAGCGCCGCTAGGTCAGTTTCGTGCTTGGCGTGAATGTTTTGCAGATTGGCAATGTGTTGTTGCCTCATCTGCTCAACTTGTTCGATCAGCCTTCTCAATGCTGCTTCGTTGTCCATGCTTGTCGTGCGATCTGCGTCGTCTGTTACGCGTCTACTATGGCTTCGGGTGAATACCATAAGCGTGGCCTGTAAGAGCTGTCTTGATCGGCTTCACGATGGGCGCCAAATGTTCTTACCGGGAATCCGAGGTAGGGATGATCCGCTGGGTAAGATCGGTGAGCCTCCTTCACTGGTACGCTTGTTGCTCCAAGATGGGGTGGTACCTGCAAAAGAGACTCTGATGCTAAAGTTAGTGTTTGTGGGTGTATGAGTCTCGTATAATTAATGCACGTACCTTTGTGTGTATTAGGGTTTTGTTAGGCCTTGGGCCCGAGATCAGTTTATGACCTAATTGGATAGTGAGTTGATGTCGCCTAGCGTGTGTCCGAGGTCACTCCACGTTGTGATGACGAGCTCGAGCTCGGCATAGCGGTACGAATAGTACACTAGCCCCCCGAGCTCCGAAGACCGTAGGTCGAGGAGTTAAGACCGAGCTCGACAAGGGGTCGTGACTTTTCGCGTACGCCTATTTTTCATGACGCCATGTGTCATAACTGTCACCTCGTTCCCGTAACGCGTGGGCGGCGCGGTGACAAGATTGTATTTTTATTTGTTTGATGACGTGGCCTCTTTGGGCCGATGTGGTGTTCCGAGGTCCATGTTTCATGGTCGGGCTGAGGAGCTCGGCAATAATAAGCTTACTGCTTGGTTAGGTTGGTAAACCTTTGACGGAGTCAGAAGATTGGTGAGGGACAAGTTGGCAACTCGGCTGGCCTACCGTAAGTCCGCTATCATCGTTAGGGTCACCGCATCCGAGGTATTGTCCGTTTTGGCGCTCGTTGGGCTGTCACGGTTTTGACCTTGAAAAGGCTCCTCGGTGGGTTAAGGAGGAAGGGTGTTTATAAACTACCATTAGCCTCGACTCCTAAGCGATGTGGAACTTTTAGGCATACCGGAACAAGCCCCCCAGTCGATGCTAAGGAGCAAGAGTGGCCTAGGCCCTCCTTCTAGTGCCAATATTCCTACCGTAAGTCCGCTGTCATCGTTAGGGTCACCGCATCCGAGGTATTATCCGCTTTGGTGCTCATTGGGCCGTCACGGTTTTGTCCTTGAAAAGGCGTCTCGGTGGGTTAAGGAGGAAGGGTGTTTATAAACTACCCTTCTGGTATGCCTAAAAGTCCCACATCGCTTAGGAGTCGAGGCTAAGGGTAGTTTATAAACACCTTCCTCCTTAACCCACCGAGGCGCCTTTTCAAGGACAAAATCGTGACGGCCCAACGAGCACCAAAGCGGATAATACCTCAGATGCGGTGACCCTAATGATGACAGCGGACTTACGGTAGGAACATTGGTGCTAGAAAGAGGGCACAGGCCACTCTTGCCCCTTAGCATTGACTGGGGGGCTTGTTCCGGTATGCCTAAAAATCCCACATCGCTTAGGAGTCGATGCTAAGGGTAGTTTATAAATACTCTTCCTCCTTAACCCACCGAGGTGCCTTTTCAAGGACAAAACCGTGACGGCCCAACGAGCGCCAAAGCGGACAATACCTCGGATGCGGTGACCCTAACGATGACAGCGGACTTACGGTAGGAACATTGGCGCTAGAAGGAGGGCCCAGGCCACTCTTGCCCCTTAGCATCGACTGGGAGGCTTGTTCCGGTATGCCTAAAATATAGAGAGGCACGAATTTTGTTGGTTAACAAATTAACTCAAACTTGGCCTAGGCCCTTCTTCTAGCGCCAATGTTCCTACCGTAAGTCCGCTGTCATCGTTAGGGTCACCGCATCCGAGGTATTGTCTGCTTTGGCGCTCTATGGGCCGTCACGGTTTTATCCTTGAAAAGGCACCTCGGTGGGTTAAGAAGGAA